CCAGTCCGGCCCGATGGAGTGCGGTGAACCAAAAATTTAAAACGAAAATAAAATGGCGAGCATGAAAGAAACAACGAAAAGCGACGCGGCAGAAAAGGTGAGCCATTGCAGGCACGTAAAAAGACAAAGAATCTCGCATAAACAACAATTACACATCCTCAGTATTCATTCACCTTAAGGGGCAGTGAGCTGTGAGAATAAATACCTCACTTCCCTTGCACCCAGTTTGTCCCCTGCCTTGCACACAAATTATACACCTGGCCTACTTCCTCCACACACGCACAGACGAGGCCAAGGCGCACCAGCTCCCTCACCCACAGCTTCCCAGAAGTAAACCGCTCATGAAAGGCACGATGAAGCAAACAAGACGGCGATTAGGCGCATTGAGAGTGACAGAAACGCTGCTGCACCTGAAACAACGCAGTAGTGATGCACCACCTTCGTTTGTCTGAGCGGCCACCGCAGGTGAGTGGCGCCAACACCTTCGGCCCCCACAGTAATGCCCACACCGCATCACCACAAACACACAGAGGGAGGAAAATAACGTGGTCTCCGTTTTGATTCACGTAATTGCATGAGCCCCGACAGGCCTGTCCCCTCTCATCCCTTTTGTTGCCGGGTCCAAGAGAGTCACAGTCGGGGGATACACGCACAGTGAGAGCCCAAAAAAAAAAAAATTAACCAGTCGGAAAATAACGCTAAAGACGAGGAAACAAGCGAAAACAAAAAAAAAGTTTAAAGAAATCATTTTCGCAATAAAAGTGTACTATTGACGTATTCGCCCACTCCACGCTTTTTGTCTGCATGCGTCATTCCCCCTAGGCCCAAGATGCTACAGACGAGGACTAAGCACATGGTGGGCGGACGCAGAGAAGCAAAAAGGGGCGAATGGAGAAAGAAAAACAAAAACGCACACGTGTTTCGTTGGTATGCAGAAAAGGGCATAGAAACAAATAATAAAAACATTTTCTACAAGAGATAAAAGAAGTGGCAGCTCGGCAAAGTACAGTCAAACTATGAGTGCGCCGCACCGTTGCCGTTTGTTGGCGTTGTTAGGAGGCTGCCTGCACTCACTGTCCCCCCTTCCGGCGCATTTGAAGCGTCCTGGATGGGCCTCTACTCGCCTCTTCTCCGCCTCCTCCCTCAGACGGCGCCGCTCCTCAAGCACTGCACGACTGAACCGGCTGTATTCCAAGTGCACGTAAACACAAGAAAGAAACGCGGTGCAGCCGATACCAATCAATAAAAGAAAGGGCATCATCACGCATTCCCGGCCAAAGCAAACCTTCCTGCCCTGCTTCTCCGCCTCACGCGTGTACCACTCGCCGTACATAAAACGGTTCAATAATAATGTGGAGCCCATTGGAGCAATGGAAAAGAAGTTGTAGTGCTTGCCATGGTCCTTGGCAAAAAGTGTACGGGCAACCAACACAACCGTGGCGGCGCTGAAGCCGTTACCCAATGACGCAATAAAGTACGGCAACAGCAGTGCGGCTTTGGGCAACACGAGGAACAGCACCGTTGACAACAAGGCACAAATAATAGAACCAAACGGAGCCACCGTGATGGGGACTCGATCCTCCGCCTTGCGTGACTGCGACCAGACTTCGAAGTAACTCATCGCCAGCCGACCCACCGCACTCCCCACGCCGGTCAGCACCATTAACAGTGTTTTGACTGAGCTGTTCACCTCCTCACCAGCCAGCGCGGCGTAGATGAAGTTAGCATTAAAAATCACAATGAACTGCGCACCCCGGGAGAGAAATAGCACCAAAGGAGAA